ACACACACACACACACACACACACACACGCACACACGCACACACGCACACACGCAAAGGCATGAAACTGGGTTCAGTCCCGCCTAGCCATTCATTCAATATTTGCTGAGAACCCACTTTGTGCTAGGCCCTGTCCTGGACTCCAGGAGCACAGCGGAACAAGGCCAAATTCTGTTCTCAAGGTCACGAGCTGAAGGAAGAGACAGAAAACGAAACAACAGACGGACACAGACCCATTCTTGGAGGATTAACCGAACACCAGCCACACTCAGGGAAGGCTTCCCAGAAGACAGGATCTTTGGGGTGGGAATTTAAGGCATCGCCAGCGTTCCCCAGCCCTAGACTGTTGGGACCACCTGCCCATTGAAGAAAAGGGAAAACTGAGGCTCGGGGCCAGGCCTCACTCGCTCCGGGCCCAGTCGGCTCGAGTCCGGGGCGGGCTCACCCAACTCGGGGGCGGGGCCTCGGCCCAGGTGCGCAGCGGCCCTTCGCGGAGGTAGGAAGTGTGTCCCCAGCGGCGGCCCGTGCAGCGCTCCCGCGAGACGCTCACCTGGGGCCCAGGTGAGCGGTTAGGGGGGCCGGGGGAGGGGCCGAGCCGGCTGCAGCTCACCTGGTGGGACAGGTAAGGCCTGCACGGGCCTTGGGGAGAGGGGTGGGGGTGCGCACCAGGGCGGGGTAAGTGTGGGGAGACCCCCGGAGTGGTGCTGGGGTCGGGGAGTGTGTCTCGAGACCCGTTCCTCGCGGGCCACCTTCCCACTTCCGGGGTGCGCGGGCCGGGCCGGGCAGCGGCCTGAGCGGGCGCCGGGGCTGGATGGGCGGAGTGGGGTGAGGCGGCCGGGTTCGTCCGGAGGGGGCGCTGGCTTGGGACGGGAGCCAGACCCACCGGGGGGCAGGGTGGGGGTGGGGGAGGGGCCCACCCCGAGGAGCCGCGTCCGGGCTGGGGCCGCCCGCGGGCACAGGCCCTGCAGCTGAAGGGGTGGTGCTCTTCGGAGGGCAGTGCCGCCGCAGGGGCTGTGCTTACCCGGAGTCATTGCCGGGGTCTGGTTCTAGGTACCCGTGGATGAGGGAGTGTCTGGCTGCACCTTTGGGGCCGGAGACAGAGTAGGTGTACCCGGCTCCGTACCCGACGGCTGCAGCAGGAGCTGGGCTGGGGGCCCTCGAAAGACAGGACGTGGGAAGACCGACCCCCCAGAGTGTGCTCGCTCGCAGGTACGAAGGGAGGGGTTGGGGGCTCATCGGTGAGAAGACAGGGATGGGTGGGGGAGCTGGTGCCTTGCTTGGCCAGTGACAGCCTCTCCCAGGTGCTAAGCACTGCACGAGGGCCCTGCAGCGCAAGATCTCGTTTCAGCCCTGAAGATCTCTCTCCCTACTTTTTACAGATGAGGAAACTGAGGCTAAGAGTCTTGCCGAGACCCTATAGCAGGGCCCCTCCCCGATATTAAATTAAATGATTAGTGTTCCTAGGATTTTGGGGGTGGGGGTGGGGAGGTGGGGGTGTGACAGCAGCAGGGAGGTGTAACCTGGAAGTAGGAGGGGCTGGATTTGGCTTCTGGAGAGTTCAAAGCCTGGAGCAGCAGTTCTCGACCTGTGGGTCTCGTTCCTTTTGGGGGTCGAACAGCCCTTTCACGGGGTGGCCCAATTCATAACAGTAGCAAAATTACAGTTAAGAAGTAGCAACGGAAATAATTTTATGGTTGGGGGGTCACCACAACATGAGGAACTGTATTAAAGGGTCGCGGCATTAGGAAAGTTAAGAACCACTGGCCTAAAGGGAAGAGGGAAACTGTTAGGTCCTGTCCCTTCCCCCCAGGTTGAGGCCCCCCACCCCCTTCCCTGACATCAAATGCTACCCTATTACTGATGCGTGGTACCAAAAAAAAACAAAAGTAACCACACATCCTGCCATGGACTCAATTCTAATGCCTATGCTGGGTTTCCAAGGCTGTGAATCTTTATGGGAGGAGACAGCCTAATCTTTCTCCTGAGGAGTGACTGATGGGTTTGAACTGCTGACCTGGTGGTTAGTAGCCCACTACTGCTGGTCAGCACTACTAGGGCTCTTGATGTGTGGTATAGAGCAGTACAAATCCTGCTCCTTTCTAGCTGGTTGTCCACCTCTCTGGGCTTCAGACTCCTGCTCTGTGAAGTGGGATGACAGTACTTTCGGGGCAGTTGTGAGTTATAAATAAGACACACATTCTCTTGAGTTGAACCCTGTTTGTGGCCCATTGGCTGTTGTTTCCCTTAGCACAGCTCTGGGCACACAGCAGTAGGTACTCAATAGCTGTTTATCAGATTCTTTTAGATAGTGAGTCTTCCAGCCTTGGGGGTAGGGGCAGAGCCCATGGCCCAGCCCACCATCAGGAACCCTTTGCTTATACCCCAGATCCCCAGAGCTCAATGTGATGGAAGCAGTGTTAATACACCCACCCTCCTCATCCAGACCTGTGCCCACAAATATTTTTTAAAAAACCAACTCACTGCCAATGAGTCCATTGTGACCGAGAGCAACCCTATAGGACAGGGTAGAACTGCCCCTGTGGGTTTCTGATATGGCAACTTGTCCCTGGAATAAAAAGCCCCATATTTCTCCCTGGAGCTGGCTAGTGGTTTTGAACTGCTGACCTTGCAGTTAGCAGCCCAACTCATAACCACTTTGGCCAGGGCTCCCCAGATGGGCCATCCTGAACGTAGACTTCTCTATGGGGCTGGCAGCTGACTCCCTCCCTTCTGCCTCATCCTTTTGTCCCCCTTTGACAAATGGGATGAAGGACTGGATAAGAATCTTGGAGCCAGGCTATATAGCTGTAAACGGATGTGTGGCTTTAGGCAAACTATTTAACTTTTCTGTGCCTCAATGTAGTCATGATAATACCTACAAATAGGTTTTTCATGATATCTAACACACTCAGAACAGTGTAAGCCTTCACTAGTTAATTTCATTGGACTGGCAGCTCTTGAGTAGGAAGTTCTTAGTATTGCATCCACTTGGGCACATTGTCAGGAGAGACCAGACCCCAGAGAAGGACATCTTGTTTGGTCAAGTGGAGGGGGAGCAAAAAGAGGAAGGCCCTCAGCAAGGTGGATTGGCGCAAGGTGCCTTGATGGTCTCAGGCCTAGGAACAAGTGTGAGAATGGCGCAGGGCCGTGCAGGGTTTCCTTCTGCCGAGCTGACTCGATGGCACCGACCAATAGCGACAGCAGCTGAATCCACAGAATTTAGAACAGCGTCCAACACACAACAGCCCCCCAGTCAACTTTTGTTAATTGAGTGAATGCATGAATCCCTACCTACCTTCACATTGTTCAAACCATAGCAAAGGTGTTTAACCACTGCCCTTCTGATTTGTGAAACCTTTAAGTTCACCTATTACACCTTTAGGAGGTCACCTATTGTAGCTTTAGGGGCTCCTGTGACATAGTGGTTACATGTTGGACTGTGATCTGGAAGGTCAGCAGTTCAAATCCACCACCCACTCCATGGGAGAATGACAGGGCTCTCTAACCTGTCAACAGTGACAGTCTCGGAAATTCACCGAGGCAGTTCTAGCCTGTGCCATAGGATCATTATGAGTTGGCACCTACTCAGTGGCAGAGAGTGAGTGACTATGGCTTCAGTTTGCACACCTTTGGGGGTGGACTCATCAAGCCTGACCGGCCTGGAGTCTAAGTCTTTTTGCTTGCCACTAAGCCTCACTATTGCCATACAGCCCACGCCGGCCCGTGGAGCACCTGCAGGACCCAACCCTATTCCAGGCATTGAGGCCAAAAGAAATCGGACACAGTCCCTGCTCCTTGAGGTTGCGGTCCTTGGAGAGAGAGGCTTCTGCTCAGACAATGGGTGTAGCTAATAGAGAGCCCAGCAGAAGACTGGGTGGAGAGTAAGGAGGTTTCCGTCTAACCAGGGGTACTGGAGGCCCTTACAGAGGAGTGCTTAATGGGGCTTGGAGATATCTTTTCCTGACCAGGATCCCACATTTCCCTTGGCCGTCAGATCCTTCACCTTGTCTGGTGCTCGGTGAGTGTTTGTCATGATTGTACTCAGGTAGGAGATTTGGGGCAGGGGTACTGCATGCACCTCTCTTTCTTGGTGCATTGTGTAGGAGCTCCGGAATGTCAGTTGGTACCACTGTTGGTGATGTTAACTTTGATCATTTGATTAAGGTGGTGCCTACCAGGTTCTCCAGATTGGTGTGTGTCAGATTTTGCTGCCTGAGGCAAGTAGAATGGAATGGAAGTGGCCAGAATGGGGGCCTCGATGGTACTTTGGTGACCTTGTTTAGAAATGTAGAATTGATTTGTCCAGGCACATAGCCTATCAGTGCCAGAACTGGAACTAGAATTCAGATATCCTGAGCCCCCCAGTCTCAGCTTCTTCACACACCCTCAGCCCCAGGAACCCAGGCCATTAAAGAGTAAAAGATTTGTGTTTCCAAAAATTCAGATTAAGAAAGAATAGCTATGGCTCAGCAAACTTTTACCTATGTTCCAGGCCTCACCACAAAGACAGCTACAAAATCGCCCCAGACTCCCTCAGTACATTTATTGGCTCCGATAATGTCTCACATCTCCTTAAAATAAAACCCAAACTTTACTTCCATCGAGTTGCCTTTGACTGAGTGAAGCTTCCCTTTTGGGTTTCCAAGGCTGTAACTCTTTACAGGAGTAGAACGCCTCATCATTCTCCAGAAGAGAGACTGGTGGTTTCGAACTGCCGACTTTGCAGTTAACAGCCCAACTCGTAACTCACTATGCCACCAGGGCTCCTCTCACATATCCTACCTATTCCATTGTATAATTTTCCCCCTACAAAACCAGGGCTAGTGTCTATGGAGTGAGTGAAGTTTTAGCCCTGAGTTTCCTAGCAACCAAGGCGGAAAAAGGTATATCTTGTGACTTAGTTTTCTTGTCTGGGAAGCAGACTAGGGGCTAGTGCATCCCATGGCTGCTTTGAAGGAGGGGAGGGGAGCAATGATCAGTGTCCACCACAAGTCACGTGGAGATGCACCAGTTGAGCCGCCTCTAAGGCTCTGTAGTGGGCTCCCGAGAACGCAGGCTCCCAGATCTTGAAATCTGGGTCAAACCACAGAGAGAACTATCACGCTGGGAAGGAGAAACCCAGTTGTTTGGGGTTTATGGGCACCCTTGGGCCCACTCTCATCCCATGCCTCTCAGAAACCAGAAGTCTGAAGCTTCTTAGGTCAGCGCAGGAATTTGCCTTTGACCTCTGACCCCTTCCTGGCCTCTCTCCCACCCCCTCCCACAGGTGCCTGCTTGCCCCAAACCATGCAGTGAGCAATGCCCCGCCCTGGTCATTCTCGCCCATTATCTGGGCCGCCCCACTTGGGACGCTGGGAGCGGCCAACAGAACAATGCCTGGAGGTGTATGAAGCGCCCCCTCAACCCCCACCAAGCCGCCGCGCCCGCAGGCCAGACCCCAAGGACCCTGGTCGCCATGGGCCCGAGAGCCTCACCTTCATCTCTGGCTCTGCGGAGCCCGCCGCCGAGCCCCCCGCCTGCTGCCTGTTCTGGCGGCCCTGGGTGTGGGACTGGTGCCGGGCTGCCTTCTGCTTCCGCCGCTGCCGGGATTGCCTCCAGCGCTTCGGCGCCTGCGTGCAGGGGTGCAGCCCCTGCCTGTCTGCCAGGGACTCCGCCGAGGAGGCTGTCGAGGCCACCTGGCCCAAGGAGCACAACGGGGTGCCCCCCAGCCCCAACCACGCGCCCCCCAGCCATCGCGATGGCCAGAGGCTCAAGTCGACCATGGGCAGTAGCTTCAGCTACCCAGACGTCAAGCTCAAAGGCATCCCCGTGTATCCCCACCGCAGCGCCACCTCCTCAGCCACTGATGCGGACTCCTGCTGCAAGGAGCTGCTGCCGGAGCCCCCACCCACTAGGCACAGCCTGCCCAGCACCCTGGCCAGCAGCCCGCGGGGCTCCGAGGAGTACTACTCCTTCCATGAGTCAGACCTGGACCTGCCCGAGATGGGCAGCGGCTCCATGTCCAGTCGGGAGATCGACGTGCTCATTTTCAAGAAGCTGACCGAGCTGTTCAGCGTGCACCAGATCGACGAGCTGGCCAAGTGCACGTCGGACACCGTGTTCCTGGAGAAGACCAGCAAGATCTCGGACCTCATCAGCAGCATCACGCAGGACTACCACCTGGACGAGCAGGACGCGGAGGGCCGCCTGGTCCGCGGCATCATTCGCATAAGTACCCGCAAGAGCCGGGCCCGGCCCCAGCCCGCAGAGGGGCGCTCCACGCGGGCTGCTGCCTCCGCCGCTGCTGCCCCCGACAGTGGCCACGAGACCATGGTGGGCTCAGGCATCAGCCAGGACGGTACGTGGGGCCCAGGCGGTCCTGGCTGGGGCGGGGCACGCTGCCTCTTCTTCCTCTTTCCTCTTAGCTCCTCCGCATCACCCATACCCGCCCTGGCCCTGCCCACTTGGGCCCTTTTGGGAAGAGCCGAGTGGAGCCTCCAAAACTTGGGGCTTCTGCTGTCCCTAGAAGACCCTCGGCCCACCTCTCCTCCTATCCGCCTGCCTGTCCAGGCCTCAGCTGCTTACCAAGGCCCAGGAAGCCAGTGACTTTAGATCTATGGCCGGCCCAGGCCAACCAAAACGCCCGAGTACACTGATGCGCAGGCGCAGGCGCCCCTCCCCAAACCACCCCGACACGCACACCCTCTGTCTGTTAAACACTCTTCAACCCTTCCCAGGGTTTGGGGGGTCCCGGGGGTCCCTTCCGCACCGGATTGGGACAGAGTCAGGGTATGTGAAAAGGGGGTGATAATGACCACTGCCTCCCACGTTCCTTCTCCAGAGCTAACCGTGCAGATCTCCCAGGAGACGACTGCAGACGCCATCGCCAGGAAGCTGAGGCCTTACGGAGCCCCAGGTCTGGTCCTGGCCTGATGAGGAGTGCGGAGAGGAGGGGGGATTGTCCTGGGCCCCTCCGTGCCCCTCTCCCAGCTTCCTCCTGGGGTGGGTGAGGATTGGAACAGGAAGGGGTGAGGGGGCCAGCAGAACGGCTTAAAGCAGGTCCCCTGGGAGGCATTCAGGGGCCGGGCCAGACTTGAGCCTGCAGTGACAGGTACCCAGGACCGCCAGACTAGAAAATCTCTGGCCCCGCCCCGGAGCCCAGCTTACTGGGTGTAGAAAGGGCCCAGGGCTGAGCAGCCACCTTGTGTGGTGTGTACTTCTGCCTTGGCCTTCACAACAAACCCCTGGGGTGGGGGGTCGTTTCCCTTTTACAGAGGGGAGCGGGGACACACAGGCCAAGATGCCAAGTGGGTCATCAGCCAGGGTCACGCTGGCCAGCCTCCTGCCTGCTTTCTGCCACAGCAGGCCTTGCCCAGGCTGTGTGCTTGCCCTCTGAGCCTGGTTCCTCCTCTCCCCTCCCCGCAGGGTACCCAGGCAGCCACGATTCATCCTTCCAGGGCACGGACACAGACTCTTCAGGGGCACCCCTGCTCCAGGTGTACTGCTAACCCCTGCTGGGCCCAGGGGCCACAACCCCCTCTGCAGGAAGCACAGCCTGCAGGTTGAGAGGGAGCCCAGGACCCACTCCAGGCCCGTTCCGGCCATGTGCCCCCGAGCACTGCCCAACTCTGGCTCCTCCTACCTTGGCTGACTGGCTCCTGGACCACGTGCATTTCACTGGGCATGGTGTCCACATCTCCACAGCACCTCCAGCTGGTCTGACCCCAGCCCTGGCCTGCTTCTTCCCGCCCATGGCCTTCAGGGGCTCTGGGTCATGGAAATCAATGACTTATGACTACCTTCTGGGATTGAATCCTGACTCTACCCCTACATGCCATCCTAACCAATCATGCAAACTTCTCTCTCCCTGGGGGGGGGGAGGGGGCGGGGGGCCAGGGAGGCTGCGGCAACTAAAAGTGTGCCTTCAATGGATTGGGTTGGGGGCAGAGAGGGCCTCTGTGGAATTGTGGGCAGTGCCCACTCGTGTTCTGAGATGACCTACTTGAATAGTTTCTCTGGTTCTTGGCTGATGTTCTACGCGCTAGACCCGAGTTGCAAGTACAAAGGAAATAGATATATGCCTGGTCCTCCCTGCTGTGACACTGCGTCTGTCCTTTTGCCTGACTGCTGCCTAAGCCAGAGAGCACACAGAACCCAAAGTCGGGCTCCGCTGCCACTTCCTGTGTACGGCAGCAGCGATAATGCCCACCTCCTGGCCTGCCTCTGGCCATCCAACTCTCCTAAATCCTTGTACTTTCCCATACCCTCACCTCCACCCCCACCCCCCAATCCTATAGCCCCTCTAGTTCTCTTCTTGGGGTTCCCAACCACCATGGGATGACGGGCTCCTCATCCTTCCAGAGAAGATTGAGGGCAAGGAAGTCAGTAGATCACACAGCCAGTAACTGGCTCTGGGCCTGGAAAGGCGGGAACCTGGTACTTGGCAATTTGGCCCACAGGCTAGCAAGCTGACCTAGGGGCACTGGAGCCCTAACTGGCCTCAGAAGCATCCTACTTGGCTGTTCCACACATTACATACTACCAGATCCTCTTTCAGTGGGGAAGTTAGGATTCCTCAGCCTTGCATCACCTACACCACTTCTTTTCTGAATCATCCCCTTTGTAAAACCACACTATCCAGTTTGCTTTCACACAGACTGGTCCCTATGACCATAGGGCACAATTCTAACTCCAGCTCTGGCATTAAGGCCCTTTCCTTACGTTCATCCAGGTAGGGTCGCACAGCCCATGACCACGGCTATGGAGCAGGGAGGCTCCACCCCACCTGCCTCTTAATTTCTAAAGGGACACTGCATTCCAGAAATTCATGGGTCACCCACTGCCCAAGGAGTAGGACATTTTTGAAAAGTTAGCATTGACATTTTTGCTATGATGTCTGGTTCCCCAATGACCTGAACCCCCACCACCCTCTAGCCAACACAGGGCAAATGGCATCTCAGCCTGCCTAGGCCTGTCCTAGTGACCAGTTCTGAGGCCTAACATCTAGAGGTCCAGTGAGACAAACAGTGGGCCCATGGACTTGGTACTGCCCTCCTGGCCCGATGTCTGCCACACACACAGCTATTCCAAGGGCAGGGCTCCCAGCCTCTGCTGCTCCTCCCTTTAGAGAAACAAGGGTGTGAAGCTGGCCCCAGGGCTGGACAGCACACCGACCCTGACTGCAGGAGTGGGTCCCTTAGAGATGGACAAGTCCAGCTCATCTTCTGCTTTGCTGGGTCACAGAGACCTTTGAGAACCTATTCAGTATGTTCTAGTTCTATAGAAAAAAAACCCTCAGCTTTTGCTTAGAATTATGCATAGACTAAGTCTTAGTTTACTGCTATTTTAACGAGAAATCCTAGAGGAACTGTATGCACTGGGCTACTGACCACAGGCTAGCAGATCAAACCTACCAGCCAGGAGAAAGGTTAAGGCCCTCTGCTCCCATCAGAAAAGGTGTTTACAGTCTCAAAAACTGGCCATGAGCTGCAAATGATGTGATAGCAGTGGGTTTTTCGGTTTAATGAAAGGGGCAAGTTACGTGGCAGAATCAGGGCTGGAAGTCAGGCCCTCAGTTTAGAAACAGCCCAAAAGGCAATGCCCGGCAGAGAGAAGGACACAGACAGAGCTGGGGAAATAGCTTTAATGTGTAACAGTAGGTTAACTGGAGAGAACAGGACCCCCAGGGACCCAGTCCCGTGCCTGCCAAAGCCCAGGGGCCCCAGAGCCCCAGGGTTAGGTGACAAATGCAGCCGAGAGCTGAGCCCTCAGAGTTCCGGGAGGAAAAGGAGGCTAGTTGAATTTGGCTTTGGAAAAATCCATCTCTGGATGCTGATCCATGAACCTGGCAAGAAGACGACAAAGGGTAAACCAGACACCTTTCTCTCCCCAACCCCTCAAAGCAGTCTAATCTCTTTGGCACCTGGAGGGCAGGGGTGGGGCTCCAGGAGCTCCCTAGCTGGAGGAGGAGGAGATGCCAGGACTGGCCGTTTCTCCTGGGTAGCAATGGCTATCTGTTACTCCTTCCGACCCTGAGGAGGCCTTGCCCTCAGGATGACCTCAGCGGGTGATGAGGGTAGGCAGGCCAAAGCTATAAAGCCATAAACCAGGCTGCTGGGCTTGCCTGCAAGGGGAGGGCAGCCCAAGCCTGCTGAGTGATTCACCCAGGCCTCCACACCCCCCCTCTGAAATGCTCACTTCTTCAGGATCTCCTGTTTCTTCTGCTCCTCAGAGGTGGGCAGCCCCATGGACTTCTGCCTCTGGTCGTACATCATCTTCTCCACCATGCTGCGGGTCTCACTGTCCAGGTCTGACAGCTGGGGACAGGCAGTGACAGAGGGGGTGAAGCTCTGTGGTCACCAGGCCCTTCACCTCCCTCTAAAGCTCTTCCAGCCGGCCAAGCTCACCTTGGAGTTCTCAGGATTGATCTTTTTGGTATTGATCTCGGGGTCACTGGACACCAAGCGGCTCCACCACTCCATTTTGTTGATCTGTAAAGAGGAAGAGAACCATGGAGTGGGGGGCTCACTCTGTGCCCCAACAACCACCCCAAACCTTCCAGAACCGAACTCCCCCACCCACGCGGCCCTACATCTGGGACCCATGCCGGCCTGTGCAGAAACAAGGGGTCTTGTTGGGTGAGAGGAGCAAGTCCCTGCCGCCCTCCCAACCCCAGAAGTTGGAGCAGACAGACATGCAGACAGAGCAACATGATAAGGGGAATGAAGTACGTTTGCGGAGAGGGAGGGCAAGGACCATCCAGAGCAGCAGGGACCTGCTGAGCTGGGCGAGGGTGTATGTGCGCAGGACACTAGCCTCGGGCCCTTGACTCTGTACAGAGACACTGCGCCCTCTCCCTGTGGAGTCTGGCTAAGAACATTAGGTTCTCAAGAGAACAGATTTCTGTTTTACTTATTGTTCTCTCTCTAAAACCTAGAACAGTGCCTGACCTAAAAATAAACAAACCAACCCCCCTCAAATTCTCTGCCATTGAGCCTATGCTGACTCACAGTGACCTTACAAGGCAGGGTAGAACTGCCCCGTGGGCTTCCCCAACTGTAACTCTTCATGGGAGTAGAAAGCCTTGTCTTTCTCCCTCAGAGAGGCTGGTGATTTCAAACCGCTGTCCTTGAGGTTAGCAACCCAACTCGTAATCACTAGTCCACCTGGGATCTCTCAAGTTGGTCAAGTGTCTGTGAATTGACTGAACACACAATGGAAAGGAAGGGGCTTTGGGACTAGACTGTATTTTGACCCTGACTCCACCCCTTCCTGGAGGTAGGAGCTTGGGCAAATCTGAGAGCCCTTCTTCTTGGACCTACAATGTTGTAGGGACTCCGTGAGCTCAGTTGTGTGGCACCTAGCGTGGTCCCTCAGGGATAGGTGACCCTCCCCTCTTCCACCATCACCACCTGGGCCGGAGTGCTGGGTCCCAGGGGAGGGCCCTCGTACCTTCTCCAGATGCACCGTCACCACCTTGCCATCCTCAATGAGCCAGGAGCTCTCCTCCACCTTCACCTCGTTGTAGAGTTCCCCATCAATGATTGGGGCCTGCCCCTTCAGCCCCACCCGGAGGTGCCGCCGCTGCACATCCACCACCACATCCTTTCCCTTCAGCCGGAAGTTCACACGGAAGGGTACCACCAGCTGCAAGGGGCAGGGGCAGTCAGGGGCCGCCACGGGGCTGCCAGGACCCTAGACGGGCTTCCCTAACCTCCACCGCAGTCCCGGCACTCACATCCAGCTCTGACAGGGTCTGGGTCCAGCGGTAATTGGACAGGTCTGCCCCGTTGCCCAGGTTGGGCTTCAGTTTTCCTTTGTCTTTCTCATCTTCCTCTACATCCTCTTCATCCGCCTCCTCGGCCTCCTGCTCAGTCAGGGGTGTTCAGTGACTTCACAGACACAGACTGAGCACCCACAGGCCACCAGGGCCAGCCCCAGGGCTGGCACTGGGCCAACCGCCCCAACTTGGAAGAGCCTGGTCCCTGCCCACTCCAGGTTCTGATCTCAGACTGTTAGACCATATGACAATGGTTATGACTAGAGGAAAGTGGGTGAGAGATGGAGGCAGGGGGCCCAGCATCTCCAGGCTGAGGGAGTTCATGGGATAAGTCTAGCAGACTGGACACCACTGAGGGGCCTTGGCAGGGGGCCAAGCTTTCAAATTAACCATTCCATTCCCTTTTCTATGTTGGAGCCCCCTACTCTCAGGCCAGGATGTCTGGAAAGCCAAACAAACAGTCTGAGGACAGCTCGGGAAGCTGGGAAGCAGGAGTCAGGAGAGGAGCCCCGAGGGGCATGCCCCAAGAGCCAGTCTGAAGTGCCCAGACCTGGGGCACCTTGGGCCCTCTTGCTCAAGCTTCAAAGGCAGTGGGATTCTGTTTCTAACCCAGATCCTTGAGTATGGGGACGACTCTGGGACCAGGGAGGGAGAGGGCAAGCCAGAGGGGGAAGACTGGAGAGCCACAGGGAGCTCCAGACCCCCGGGGTAGCTCCCAGGGCCACCAGCCCATCTCACCTGCTTCTCAGGTGGGTCCAGGATGCCGTTCTTGGGCTGCTTCTCACAACTCTCCGTGTCCTTTTTCTGGGTACAGGGCAGAGCAGTTGGTAGGAGGGTACCTCACTTCCTCACCAATGGGGAATCAGGGAGTGGGGAGTGGGAGCCGCCCACCTGGTCGATCTCCAGCTGCAGCCTCTCGGCCTCCTCCTCAGTCAGCTCCTTGATCTGGGGCCCAGAGACTTCGGACTTGGCTTCCTTGGCCAGGCGGGCAGCACGCTCAGCCTTCTCCCGCCGCTCGGTCTCTTGCCGGGCTCGTTTCTCCCGCCGAGACGTCTGTGCCAGCTGGTTGTGGTGACTGAAGGTCTGAGTGATGAGCTGGGGAGGGAAAAAGACAACATCAGGGCAAGGAGCTGTGTCCCAAGCCTGGAGCGCAGCCCCCACTCTGCCAGCTGGGTGCCTGGCCCAGGCACCGGTCTCATGTCAAATGAGGCCACTCACTCGTTCAGAGGGGTAATGAGCACACCTGCGCAGAGTACCACGGGGGCCTGGCTAGTGGAGTCTGGCATCCTTGAGCTGGCTCGGCCACAGTGGTCATTCCTTTTGCAGGTGCAGCCTGGTAACCACGTGTCCCGAGAGGGCAGGTGGGCAGCCCGGGTGCTCATACAGTCCTTGGAGCAGCCGGCTACCTTCTCACAGCTTCAGATTCCTCACCTGTGAGGAGGAAGCCTTACCTTCCAGAGTGGGGAGTGCTGAGGCATGGGTCTTTAGTGAAGCTGTTTCAAGCACTGCGAGAATCCATCCAAGCTCTCAGACACCCAAGGCCCTCCCCGCCTCCACAGGACCCATAGCACCACACCCAGACCTGCTACCGCACACGAGCTAAGGCCAGAGACACCGTGCTTGAAGAGGCTACTCTCATCTTTCTGCCAGCAACCCCCAGCCCTCTCTCTCCCACTGTGCATGAGCTTCCTGGCTACCAAGTGCTGCCTGTCCCTACCTGGCTGTAAGACCTTAGATAAGCGAGTGGCCTTGACTCTTTCTAAGACTCCGTTTCTTCCTCATCTATCCCAAGAACCAAACGTCACAGCATCTATGAAGAGCTGCATAGCCCTTGACACAATACAGACAGACAGAGTCCTGGCGCCTGTGGCCTGGCTGGGGCAAGCAGGGACACGCCTTCTCCTTGGTACAGTGAAATGGGCAGTAGCCACTTATCCAGCAGCCCTCCTGATCCAGTCTTTTGACCTGTGCCACCTAAGGTTGCCTCTCCCTGTCTCACTCGCCTGTCACGTGATCAGTGGTCAATAAACCATCCTTCAAGCACCTTGTTGAGCTGGAGCTGGAGGGAAGGAGACATCTGCAAGAGCTGGGGCTCCCATGAGTCTCAGGCCACCAGGGCTGCTCAAGGGCCCCCACACCCTGTGGCTTCTCTCATCAATGCCAACATCCCACCCCAGCCCCATTCATGCCACAGTGAGGCGACCCACACTCTGCCGGGTTAAAGGACACCCAAAGGTCTTCTCTAAGCAAGCCACGTGGAGGGCAAGGAAGAAGCCTCCTGAAGAGCAGAACTTCAGTTATGGGAGAATCATGCCCTTGGAATTCTACTCCACCACCTAGCCTGGGGCCCAAGTTCCCATGGGAGACCTTGGACCCAGTGACCCAAGAGCAATGAGGCCAGGGTCCCCATCTCCCAACTCTAGTGAATCAAGCCACCTCCCTCCTAGCTGTCCTGTCCCTTCCTGGTGCCTGGCTGTTACCTAAGTGGTTAGGTGAGAGCAGAGGAGGGTCAATCGCAGCAGCCTCTGCTTCTTCCTCCCTGTCTCAGGTCCAGCCCCAGCCAGTCGGAGACCCCTGGTGGCATGGTAGCCCACCCAAAGGTGCCAGTCAGCAGTGTGTCAGGGTTAAGCGTTTGTGCCTAGACAGTTTGGGGAACCATGGCCCTGCTGGCTGAGAAGTGGGGGAGGCCACCTGAGAAGACAGATTTGAACCCCAGGGGGAGCACCTGATCAGAGGCAGCCTTGAAGCCAGGATGAGGCGATGGTTCCACAGCCCAGCCCAGGTGGTGGGTGATTTCCCCCAACTCCCCCGCCCTGAGGAATTCTCCTATCCCCCATGCTGAGAACCCAGTGGGTGGCCAGAACCCTCAATCAAGGCCCTGTGGAAGCCAAGACTGACAGTCAGGGGACAGCAGCGGGGAGGGAGGAGTGAAGAGCGGCAGGTCCGCCTCTGAGGCACGCAGACAAAAGGCCTGATGATGCAGCCCCTCGGACAGCAACGGGGACCACTGCTATGCACCCCAGCGCCAACCCACACCCACAGGCCAGCCCCCTCAGCATTTTCTCCTCTTCCTGGGTGGGGTTCCCAGCTCAAGGTGTGACATATGTCCATCTATCCATCCAGGTGCCAAGGGAGAGACTGGACAGTCACTGACTTCAATGGAGTCCACGAATATGGCCCGTCTAAACACAACTCCTCAAGTGATGTATTTGAATTCGGGCCTGTCATCCCACTTGGGAGGGTGTTCTCTAAGATGAAGGTGGGATGTGCCCTTCTTAGAGGTGACCCTACTAGAGAGTGGGAGTTCAGTCACCACCCTTTGTTTGCTTGGGCATCCGGTCTTTCCAAAGACAAAAGCTACACTGTAGCTCGTCCTGGGTGCAGAAATGGTTATCTCAGAAGCAGAAACTGAGAGAAAAACCTCAGGTCCATCTCTGTCCAAAGTGGTGGAGGCCGAGATCAGAAGTGGCACAGGAACTAAGGGACAGAACAAAGAAGCTGAGACCAGAGGCCTAGTCAAGAAGCGATGAGGCAGAACCAAGGGGCAGCGGCCAGCCTGTGGGACTGGTAAGTGTCAGTTCAAAATGAAAAGGAACATACGGGGATGTGGGAAGGGAGGACACTTTCAGACATGGCTGGTAAAAGTGAATTATTGGCACCTTTAAAAGGTTTTTATTACTGAATATTTCAAAGTTAACCAGAGCTTTCAGAAGGGACACCCGCCTAGCCAGCCAAATCAGCTGCATTCACCCTGGTCATCAGTGGGTTGGCGGATGTCGCAGCTCAGTCACTCTCACTTCCAAGAGTATTGCCAGCTCAATGCTAATTTTCCAGCCTTTGAACTTTCCATTTACTTAAGTCTTCATTCATTTCCTTCCATATTTTATTCTTATCATATAAGTTTGATATTCTTTTGTTAAATTTACCCCACAGTATTTTCTGTTGTGCGAGCTCCCAAACCACTTCCCTCACTTACAAAAATGTGCTAAGAACAACCCCCCCACCGTTGCAGAACTACTAAAGCAGTGCCACAACCCTTTCATACAGTTTCTCATGTTGTGGAGACACCCAACCATACAATTATTTTCGTTGCTACTTTGAAACTGTAACTTTGCTACTGTGATGAATCCAGGCGACCCACAGGTTGAGGACCCACAGGTTGAGAACCACTGTACTAAAGGGTTGTGCAGAACAGGGCAGAGAAAGCACTAGCCTATAGCGGCACTCCCATAAATGGCAGTTTACGTCTCTCTCCACTCCTGGTCCTTGGCATTTTACTTCTGCTAAAGGTCACTGCTATACCAAAGGAGGACTGGGTGTGTTGTTCAGCCCAGAGGCCCCAACACTTACCTTCTCTGCCATCCCCTCTTCTCCTCCAATGAAAAAGTCAGTTTTGCGGCGAAGAAAGCTAAAGAAGGTGTTCACAAGCTGAAAGACAAGACAAGATAGAGCTATGGAGATGCCATACAGGGAGGCCCTCGACTGCCTAGAAGCCAACTTCTTGTTTTTAATTTAGATTTTTAAAATTTTATTGGGAGCTCTTACAGGTATTATAACTCATAATTCAAGGAGATCAGCATAATTTTCCAATTGCTGCCACCATCAGTTTCAAAACATTCTTTCTTCTTGAACCATTATTTTATATATATATAATTATTATTTTGCCATATCTTATGGCCCAGGGGTCCTCAAACTTTTTAAACAGGGGGCCAGTTCACTGTCCCTCAGACCCGTTGGGAGGGCCGGACTACAGTTAAAAGAAAAAAACTATGAACAAATTTCCTATGCACACTGCACATCTTATTTCGAAGTCGAAAAACAAACGGGGCAAAAACACCCAGCGGGCCGGATAAATGTCTTCAGCGGGCCACAGGTGGCCCACGGGCCATTGTTTGAGGACACCTGTGTCATCCAGTGTATTCACCTACAATTCTGTTATTCATTCCCCTGGAATGGGGTTATACAATCATCGTTGCCATCAGCTTCCCCTACCTCCCTAGAAGCCACCTTCTTTAGTCTAAGAGGTAACAGGATGTAACCATTCCTCCCCTGAAGCCTCTCAAAGGAGCCATCTCCCTCCTCCTAGTCCCCTTGGCCACTCCCACCAGGAGGAAACAACATAACTTGTTCTAAAGTAGAGCTGCCCAAAGTTGGAGAGGCAGGGGGGCGGGGGCCAGGCGCACAGGAATGATTCAAGAGATGCTGCAAAAGCAGATATCCACACTGTACCCTGTGATGGGCTGTGATATGCATGTATTATCTAGAATCAAGGTTTTCTAGCCTACCATGTCCTTTTCAGGAAAAAAAACCAAAAATCAATCAGCACCCTTTGGCAATTAAAAATGTCTGTTGTATAGCCCTAATCTAACTTTCCATGTTGCTACTTAAAATAAAAATTTTTTAAAACCAGAATCGTAACAGTTGGTCCTCACCATTCACCAAAAAAAAAAAAAAAAAAAGGTGTGGTCATCAACATGGACTGTCCTCCTTTAAACAGATGCTCGTCAGGGCAGGGGCAGCTTTCTGTTCACCTCTGGATCTCCGGGCCCCACCCCAGAGAAAGTCTGGCAAGCAACAAATACTGAGCGAATGGACAAGCAAGTTATCACTCTGCTGTAATTCAGGAAAATAAGAACCTGTAACTAGTTCTGTTGCAAATGCTAAGCAAACAGGCTTGGAGAGGTGGGACTGTCCCAAGCCCTCCAGGGGGTTGAGCACCAGCCTCCTGCTCCCCTGTACACAGCCTACAAAGAGCACGTGCTACCATCATCCGCCACGCGCAAGCTCGCTCGTCGGTTCGCTCCAGCTTAGGAGGGGGATGAAAATCGCCACGTTTGCATAAGAGACACCCTCCAGGAACGACCACCTGGGGCGGGGCGGGGTCCGGGGCTGGAAGCGTGAGTGAGGCCTACAGGGATCCGGAGACTCGAGGGAAAGGATCTCAAGGGTGGCGTTCTGGGATGCCCCGGGGCCGAGTTCGAAGCCACCGACGGGCACGGAGGGACTTGAGAGGGGCGAGCCGCACGGAGTGGGCGGCCCGGCCGGAAGCCGAGGAGGGGTGGGAAGGTGGGGGGCATCCCGGCAGCCCGCGAGGGGCTCTCGGGCCTCCCAGGGCAAGCAGGGCTGCGTGCCGGACCAGGGTCGCCTGAGTGGGCTGGCAGCGCCGGGCCGACGCCGCGCGGGCGCCTACCTCCTGCACGCCCCCCTCGTGCTGCTGCGCCATGGCCAGCAGCATGCCGTCGAACCTCTCCTCCTCCTGCTCCCCGCCCATCGCGCCGGCCGCTCGCCACGCTCGGGAACCCGCGGACCGCACTCGCGCCCGACGCCCCCGGCTCCTTCAGGCCGCCTCAGGCCCAACGACTCGCGCCCTCCGGCTTCCGCAGCGGAGCAGGAAATACGCCGCGCCGCCCCGCCCCTCCCGCCTTCTCCCCTTCCCTTCCCGCCCTCCTCCGGGCCCGCGGCCACTCACCGCGCGGCAAACGGCCCGCTTCCGCGGCCATTGGTCGGCTTTGCGAACCAATCAACAAGTGCGTCTAGGAAGGGGGCGGGCGCAGACGAAGACGCCGGAGCTTGGCGTGAGTTGCCATGGTCACACGATGCTTTGGAGCTTTCCAGAAAGCCCTGGGCTCAAAGATGGTGGGGGTTGGAAATTTTAAAAGGACAGACGCGTTCCTCTGCCTTGTTCCCAGCCTGTAGAACGATGCAACAGAAATCCCCTTATCGGTTTTTGGGGTTTTTTTGACAACTGTGGCCCAGAAAGAAAGAACTTGCCAAGGACAGCCTCTATCGCCCTGAACCTCCCCCGCTCCCATGTCCACCCCGGAACCATCGGTCCCACTGTTTTCTCCTCCAGATTGTTCATGCAGCCTATCTTATTTAGACAGACCTGAAATTCTTGATAATTTTTGTGTTAGCAGTTCTTCATTTTCATTTGACATTGGATCTCGAAAGTTATGTAATCAATCTGTAGTTTATCTTAACGCCTGTCAATGTGAGGGACAGGACCCAATCTCCCCACTCCTAGCTCCGCTATGTACAATGGAAAGAAACACGGTATGGTCCTGCCCATCCTCACAATCGTTACTATATTTGAGCTCATTGCTGCAGCCACTGTGCCAATCCATCTCCTTGAGGGTCTTCCTTTTTGCCTTACCTTATACTTGACCAAGCATGAGGTCCTTTCTTAGGGTCTCCTAATACATCTCCAAACAAGACATGGTGAGACAGAATCTTGTCATCCTCGCTTCTAAGCAGCATTCTGGCTGTATTTCCTCCAAGACAGATTTGTTTGTTTCTCTGACAGTCCATGGTATTTTCAATAGTCTTCAATGCCATATTTCAAGTACATTGATCTTCTTTGGTCTTCTTTATTCATTGTCCAATGTTCAAATGCATATGAGTTGATCAAAAATTACCATGCCATGGGGCACTGGGTTTTCTCCCACTAGTTCGATGACTTTCACATCTTAATCTTCGATTCAGAGAAGCTACTGGATTCTATAAAGAGATTTATGGCATCAGGTTTGGAGGAAGACTTGTTAACAATCTGTGGTGTGCAAATGACACAAGTTTGCTTGCTGAAAGTGAGGAGGCATTGAAATAATTGCTCATGGAGCTCAAAAACTGCAGCCTTCAGTGTGGATTACAACCCAATGTAAGGAAGACCAAAATCCTCACAACCAGGCTAATCAGTAACATCGAGGTAAATGGAGACAAGGTTGAAGGTGTTAGGGATTTCATCTTGCTTGGAGCCACAATCCATGCTCCCGGAAGCAGCAGTCAAGTGATCAAAAGATGCTTTGCATTGAGTAAAGCTGCGGCCAAAGACTTCTGTAGGATATTGAAAAACAGAGATGGTACCTTGAGGAGTAAAGTTCACTTGACCCAAGCCATGGTCTTTTCAGTTGCCTCCTAATGTATGTGAAAGCTGGGCATTAAGAAGGAGGACCAACGAAGAGTCTATGCATTGACTTGTGGGTACTGGCAAAGAATATTGAAAGTACCACGGACTGCCCAGAGGACAAACAAATCTGTCTTCAAAGAAGTCTGGGCAGAGTGCTCCTTAAAGACAAGGATAGAGACTTTATCTCACATACTTTGGTCATGTCAGGAAAGACCAGTCCTGGAGAAGGGCATCACCATGCTTGGTAAAGTAGAGGGAAGGCAAGCAAGAGGAAGGCCCTCAAGGAGATGGCCTGCCACGGTGACTGCCACAGTGGACTCAAGCACAGGGACGTGTGGGCGGAGCAAAGCCGTGGGAGATTCCCTTCTGTTGTGCACAGGGTCCCCCATGGGTCGGAACCCATGCATTGGCACCAAAGAACAAGAATCTTCTTTGGGATCCTAACCCAGCGACCATCCCCTCCTCATCTCCTGCATCTCAAATCTTCCTTCTGGAGGATTTCCATCAAGTTTATAAACATTTAAAATGTTTACAAGACCTTACTTCCTGATGATGTTGTTAAGTGCTGCCAAGTTAGGTCTGACCCTTTATACAACCAAATGAAATACTCCCTGGGCTTGGGCCATCCACAGTTGTGATTGGGTTTGAGCTCATTGTTATAGCAAATGTGTCAATCTATCTCCTCAAGGATCTGCCTTTGGGGGGCGGGGGGTTGGGGAAGGGGGGGGGCTGACTCTCTACTTGACCAAGCATGATATCTTTTTCCGGGTAACCTGTCCAAAGTCTCACCATCCTCACTCTCAGCAGCATGCTGGCTGTACGTCTTCCAAGGCAGATTTGTTTGTCCTTCTGGAGTCCAGGCCCTTTCAATATCCTTCCCCAAGACAGAATTCAAGTGTATTAGTTCTTCAGTCTTCCTCATTCCGTCCAACTTTCACACACATAAGAGGAAGTTGAAAATACCAGGGCACACCTTAGTCCTCAGAGTGACATCTTTGCTCGTCCAAAATTTTAAATCGTGCAGCAGATTTCCCCAATGTAATACACCATCTGATTTCCAGATTGCTGTCTCCATGAGCACCGGTTGTGAATCTAAGCAGGCTGAGATTCTTGACAACATCAATTTTCTCTCCGGTTATTATTAATTATTATCTTGTCTGTTGGTCCAGTTATGAGCATTTTGGTTTGTTTACATTGAATTGCAATGTAGAATGAAGTCTATAATTCTTCATCAGCCAAGGCCTCAAATCCTCCACACTTTCAGCAAGCCAGGTTACCACCTACATGTCAGCTCCAATTAATTGCAACTGTTTGAAAGTTTGCAATGCTTGCTTCTTCACCTCCTTGTCTTCCATCTCAATTTAACGACTCTAATTAAGTTGTTCTTAAGGCTTTGGATACGAAGTAATGGTAGTGAGGCCAATAGAAAAGAACAGGAACCCCAGAAATAAAACCGTCAGCAAATAGACAACTGATCTTCAACAAGGGCCCCAAAAGCACCAAGTGGGAGCTGATGCCCTCTTCAACAAGTGGTGCTGGAAATAATGGATATCTACCTGTAGAAAAATGAAACAAGACCCTTACCTAACTCTATGCACAAGAACAAACAAGGTGGATCACAGACCTAGAAGTAAACCCCAAACTCTCAGGACCATCAATGAAGGAATCAGGACACACCTAAGAACCTGGGTGCAGGGAATACGTAGGCTAACTGCAACAGGGAAGGCACACACACAGGGGAAGCTGAAATCAACAAGAGGGATCTACTGAGGATAAACTCCTGTGTTCGTCGAAAGACTTCACCAAGAGAGTAACAAGAGAACACAAAGATAGAGGATTTTTAGCAATGACACAACAAAGGGCTTATTCCTAAAATCTACAATACTCTCCTGGACTGCAAAACGAGGACAACCGTTAACCTCCTGAGGAAGTGGGCAAAAGACCTGAAAAGTTTCACTAGGGAGGAGACCCGAATGGCCAATAAGCATGAGGAAAAGCTCCTGATTATTAGCCATCAGAGAAATGCAAATTAAAACAACCATGAGGACAAAATAAACAAAACCATGAGATACCATCTAACACTTTTGAGGTTAGCCTAAGCCAGAAAATCAGAGAGCAACAAATGTTGGAGGGGATGTGGCAAGATAAGAACTCTCCTCCACTGCTGGTGGTCGTGTACATACCACAGTCTCTGTGGAAAGCGATCTGGTGATATTTAAAGCAAATAGAAATTGAGTTACTTTATGACCCAGCTATCCCTCTACTGACCATATACCCAGAAGAGGTAAGAAATAGACCACGACCAGTTGTCTGCGCTCCAGTGTTTATTGGCAACACAATTCACAATTGCAAAGAATTAGAAACAACCTAAATGCCCATCGAGAGAAGAGTGGGTTAGTAAATTCTGGGACATACACACAATGGAGTATTACGCAACCCTAAAAAGCACTGATGATTGCATGAAGCACCATCATCTCATGGGAAGAGTTGGAGGAAATGATGCTAAGCGAAGTTAGCCAATCATAAAAGGCAAGTACAACATGAATCCACTGAGGTAAGTGTCATCAGCACAGGTAATAGAAGAAAAGCCATTTATCTCACACTCTACGGGTTGAGGTACAGGCAGACGGGTGGGGGACAAGCCAAACCCAAGGATGTGTATGTCATTCCAACACAATGAAGGGAAAAGACAGTGCGGGGGAGGGGGGGGAAGGGGAGTGGGTTAAAGAGGGAGACATGGCACTGAGGGAGCAGGGTATTAGCCCACCCAGGGAGAGGGTATTGTTTAAGTCTCCACAGAAATGGGAGTGTGAGCGCTGACCTCACCACAGCGCCAAACCTTGAGTGCAGTGTAACCACATGGAGCAACTCCTGAGCAGAGAGGACCCCAGGTCCGGCCCCAATCAGACCCTGTGGGAAACTAACACTGAGGGAAATAAGACCAGGATTATATTCCCTAACTTGTAACACGGAAGCTGAACAGCTAAATTAGAGATAAAGTTCAAGCACATTATCCTGCTTTAAATGTATTCCCCCAGAGCACATGGTCGATTCTGTCTCCCTGCAGAAGCAGACATTCTTTGATTATCTCCTCCCACCTAGTCACCCATCCCCCCCCAGGCCGTCCCCCAATGCAGGTATTGGGTTTCCTCACCTGTGAGCTCAGGGACTTTACTGTGGTTACCACCCACCTTGTGACATATGTAACTACTGAATATGTTTGACTAATGGCGACCTATAAAAGCCCCCAAACAATAAAGACACTCTCTCTTCCCTCTCTGTCCTCTTGATCTCTGTGCAGACCTGGCTGCTGAGATCACGGCCATCCTGGAGGTGAGCATGCTACCATAAAATGTGTCTGGCTCCTTTATTTTACTCTCTCGCCTATCTCGCCTATCTTCCGCGACTTTACGATTATCTTTATATATTATGACCGTACAATTGCACCTACT